ACAACGAGCTGCAGGAATCGCCTCGATCGCCGCTTGATAACGCTCTCGCTTGCTCTCCGACTCACTCTTCTCCTCTCCTCTCTCTCTCGCGCGCGCTCTCCTCGACTCCTCCTCCCCGTCCCCGTGCGCCGTTCCCCCCTTCGCCCCGCCCGGGCCCCCGCCCGCCCGCCCGCCCGCCCGCCCCTGCGGGACGCGTGTGTGTACCTCACTCAACTGGGGCCAAGAGGCAAGCACTTGGAGTGCAGTCAATAGCCTCACATCCCAGGCCTAACAAAGACTAGATCTACCCAAAAAAAATTGCTTTCGATGAAAAACGAGCACGCATAGTCTCCCCCCTCCATTCTCTCCCCCTTGGCGTGGGCGCGCCTCACCCCCCAGCTCTCGGTATCGCGTACTGCACGAGGCTACCGTGGGCCCCGCCTGCGCGCTGGGGGTTCCCTGCCCTGTCGGGCAGCCTAGCTCTGAACCTGGGGTCGCTACCTAATGCGGGGCGAATGAGTGATGAAGTTAGTGCCTTGGTGTGCCCGTTCCCCGTTATGGCTTCCCCTGGTCTCGCGACCATGAATGAGAGCTCTCACTCCCAGGGTACTCCCGCGTATCTCGGCTCCCTTATCCCCCCCCTCTTCCCCCCCCTTTCTCTCTCCGAGATGACCCGTGCTCTACGTGCCTAGGGTTGGTCTTCGGGGAGGGGGGATTGTCGGTGTGTCCTCGCGAGTTTTTCTCGCTGGGCGCCCAACAGCTTCGATTTCCCTCCTTAGCGCCCCGGGTAGAGCGTGGTCTCCCCTGGAGCCTGCCACGCCCGTTCTGTCTAAGCCCAGGGTTCAGCTTTCCAGTTGATCCTTATCGGACTGGTGAGTTCCTTCTAGCTGCCAGGGGTGAGGTGAGAAGTGAGGGGTGAGGTGAGGCAAGGGTTCGGTACTATGTTGGTAGGGGAGGGGTTAGGCTGTTTGTGAGTACCCCAGAGGGGGAGGGGTGAGGGGTGAGGGGTGAGGAATGAGGGGTGGGGAGAGGTGAGGGGTGGGGGGTGGGGGGTGGGGGGTGAGGGGTGAGGGGTGAGGGGTGAGGGGCGAGGGGAGGGGGGTGAGGGGTGAGGGGTAAGGGGTGAGGGGTGAGGGGTGAGGGGGTAGAGGGAAGGTAAGGGGCGGTGAGGGGTGAGGTGAGAAGTGAGGGGTGAGAGGTGAGGCAAGGGTTCGGTACTATGTTGGTAGGGGAGGGGTTAGGCTGTTTGTGAGTACCCCAGGTGGGTTGGAGGGGGAGGGGAGATGCTCCTGCTTGCTCGCGCCGGGGACGGCGCAGACCTCGACGTAGAATGTCTTGGAGTGGGAGCACTCTGCACAGCCACAGGCATGGGGTGGTGAAGCAATCTTGGCCGAGCCGCCCGGGAGCGCGCGCGGCGAGCCAGCGCGCCTCGCCTGGTTGAACAGAGCTGTCGCGGGGTGCAGTCAGCCGCGCAGTGGGCGGGCGGCGTGGGCGTGCGTGTGTGTTGAGTGTCCAGCAGGTCTGCTGCACTGCCTGCTGGCAGGCTGTGCAGATTTGGTCGGATGGCGGGGCGCGTGCGCGGCGGCCGCCGCGCGCGGCGTGCCGCCGCGCGCGCCTCGCGCGCTGGAGCTGCGTCGTGCCGGGCGCGGCGCGCTCTGGTGGAGCATGGTGCCTGAAACAGTGTGCAGGCGCCTGGCAAAGGGCGTGGACTGTCAGTGGGGTTCACTGCGGCGCGCGCGTCGCGGCGTGAGTGGTCGTGCGGCTAGCTCTGATGGTGCGAGAGGCGCGTGGCTGGTGCGGGCGGCTGGCGCAGCCATGGGGTGCCAGCACAGGGCAGACGCACATGACACAGGCTTCTGGGCGCTTGGCGTGTGTTTGCGTGCGCGCGGGGACGTACGCGCAGTTTTCACGCGGTGTGCGTGGAGAGGGGCATGAGGGGCGCCGGCCGCGCGTGTATTGGCGTGTGAGAGTGCGTGGTGCCCGAAGGCGACGGGGCCCGAAGGCAGGGAGGAATTTGTCCGCCTCGCATCAACGAGACTTGGAGAAAAACCTAGATGACCCAATGAATCGTCGTGTGTGGCGCGCACTTCTCGACGGGAATCTGATCTCGTCCTGCTGCTCGAGCGGTGCCGCTCAGCTCAAGAGAGATGTGAAAATGCCGTCCTCTCTAGCTGATGTGCGGGAGCTTGCACAGACCAGGTTACAACAATGTGTACACAGAACTAAACACCGGGCGATCGGGAGCTCCATTCTAGTAGACAACGCAGGGGCAGAAGCGACGGTGGCTAGCAGACGTGACGGTGCAGGAGCGGCCGCCGTGGTTGGCATAGAGGCACCCTCCAGCGGCGTCGATGGCAGGCGCAAAGGAGGGCGATGAGCCCGAGCTGCTGGCGCACCGCTGGCCAAGGAGGTTCTTCGCGATGCCCTCCACCTCGTACTCCTCATCCGCCTCGTCTCCGCGGAGTGTCGCCACGTCGCACTCGGCCGAGCCGCTCGCGGCGCACACCGCGTCGCATCCTTGGCCCGCGTCGCCAAGCTGCCAGAACTTGCGGCGGTGCGCGGAGGGCGGCGTGTACCCCTGCTGTGTCTGCGCGTACGTGTCGGCGGCTGGGCCGTACTGT